CAAAAAAGGCAGATGATTTTCCAACTTCCAAGAACTTAGAGGAAAATTACGTCATCGGGTGTCTGCACCGATTATTGTCAAATGTATCGATTCATTCATAATTTCGTCTAGAACTTCTGCAGCTAAAAAGGAAAGTCAGTAAACTGGTCTATTGGATGCCACTGCGAAACAAAAAAAAATGTAAACAAACAAAACAGCTAACACCTAACTACCCTTCTTGGTCAAATGAAAAATTCCCTGCGCAGACTGCAAATAAATACTAATCACTATATAGAAAACACCTGTTTATATTTGTCGTATATGCACGAAAATCCAGATATTTGGGTTTTTTTTGGAATTCAGAAGTACATGCAAAAAATCAGAACAATTCGCCTCTAAGTTCCTGTGTAATGAGGTCGACAAGTTGTCCATTTGGTGTTGTCCAGACCTTAACGCGTCATGATTAATACTTTTCTTTGTCTTTTTTTCTGTTTTCCACAGTGACAGGGTTGAATCTGTGGGGGTGCGTGGTCGGCGTTTGCGTGGTTGTTACTTTCTACACCACACTGGTGAGTGAGTTGAACAATAGGTCAAAGACCTAATCCATAAAAAGAAAAAGGCTTCTAAAACCCATTACAGAACAGAACTAAGTCATAGGCTATTAAGAAAGTAATCTGGTAAGAAAAACGAAGTATAAAAAGAAACTGGAAGATCTGTTTGTTCAAATAACTCTTGAGAAACATGGACTGGGCTAAGACCATAGTGGGCTACAAAAATAAACCATGTATGTCAACGAAGAGAGCTATGCAAATCAACTTAATGCCTTTTTCTCCCGTTTTGACAAAGGCAGTCCGTGTGACTTGCCATATGTGAACACTGACACAAATGAAAATAATGCTGTTGTTGTTGAACAACGTGATGTTAGATGTGTGTTTGGAAGTGTGAATGTGAGAAAGGCGTGTGGTCCAGACTGTGTGCAACCCAAAATTCTGAAAATGTGTTCAGCACAACTTCGTTTTATTTACACACATATTATCAACCAGTCGTTGTTGACACATGCTATTCCCACTATTTGAAATTTTCTGAAGTCGTCCCCCTTCCAAAGAAAGACAAAATTAATTAAATGAATTACCTAAGGCCAATAGCCTTATCATCCGTAGTTATAAAATGTCTGGAAAAAATTGTGCTAAAAAGACTACGAACGTACATAGAACCCATCCTGGACTCTCTACAATTCGCATATCGTCACGGGAGAAGTGTGGACGCTATTCTACTATTTTTTGACAACATATATGGAGACTTAGACAAGCCTAAAACATACTGTAGGATCCTGTTTGTTGATTTTTCGTCAGCCTTTAATACTATCCAGCCAGCTATCCTTTTAAAGAAATTAGAAAACATAGGTGTTAACGTCAATTTAATATCATGGATAGGCAATTTTCTAACCAACCGAACCCAGGAGGTAAAATTAAAACATTCTTCATTGACATACATCACAACAAATACTGGGGCCTCTCAAGGATGCGTTTTGTCTCCAGTTTCATTCACATTATACACGAACGATTTCCGAATAAACAACAGAAATATCAAGTTGATAAATTAGCAGATGATTCAATCATAATTAGGCTAATTCAGGCGGACCATAACGAAACCGCTTACCGGAATTCTGTACATAATTTTTCTGAATGGTGTGAAAATCATAAGCTGCTTTTAAATGTGAAAAAAAAAACCAAAAGAAGTTTTTGTTGATTTTAGAATAAAGAAACTGCCCCTGCAGCCACTCGAAATTAAATGTGAAAACATCGAGCAAGTGTCAGACTATTATAAGTATTTGGGTGTTACAATAGACAACGAACTCAACTGGCGTGTCCACACTTCTCTCCTGTATAAAAAAGTGAACAAAAAACTATTTCTCCTAAGGAAGCTTAAGTATTTTAAAGTTGATAAAACATTGATGTCCATGTTCCACCATTCAACCATAGAAAGTACGATCAATTTTTGAATAACAGCATGGGCCAGGAACACAAGACAACAAGATAAAGAAGAATCAAATCGACTAATACGGAAAGCATGTAAAGTTTCAACATCTACATTCCCCTACTTGGATGAAATGTACATAACAGCTTGCACTAAGAAAATTAATTCCATCTTTTTAGACAACAAACATTCCTTGTTCCCTCAAATAAAAACATCAGTCAGAAGTAAAAGACCTAGGCTTCTGATCTGCAACAAAGAAAGATATAGAAGGTCATTTTTACCATCATCTGTCAAAATGCTTCCAACTTGTATAAGTATACTTACGATCTTAGAGCATGCATCAAAATAACATTGAGCGGGCATCTAGTTTTAATTTTTATTGTTTATATTGCTGCTCTTTTATATTATGCATGTGATTGTAAGCCTACTTGTGTGTGCATATAGGTGCGCGCGGGCGCTGTGTGTGTGTGTGTGTGTGTGTGTGTGTGTGTGTTTGTGTGTTTGTGTGTGTGTGTGTGTGTGTGTT